AGATAGATTTCACTTCCTTTTTTTGTAAGCAATTACCTTTTTTTTGTAAGCGATTGTTTCAATTAAACGTGCACTAAGATCGGGTTGACCGAATTAAACAATTTTGAATAATATTAAATTAATTTTATTTGATTTTCACGTCTAAAATTTTCCAAAATACTATTTTTATTTTTGTGGAAAATGGCGGTTGGATGAAAAATTCAAATTCAAATTAAAAAAAATTGTTATTTTGAAAAAGATATTTTGTAAACCTTAATTCATAAAAATATGGTCAATGATAACTTTAAATACAACGGGTAAATATGGTCAATGATATCATAAATTATATTTTATATTCGATAAGTTCAACTTAATTGATGATTTTGTTTGTTAATATTTGCTTAACTACAAAATATTTTAAAGTTTATTAGAAATATATGTATATTTTTTCAAAAAGTATGACGATCATATAATTAATTTTATCATATATCATATGTTGGATGTTATTAGTTTGGTTGGGGACACTCATTATATTCAAATAAATAATATATAATTTTTCATATTTGGTATTTCTTTTTTTATAATAATAAGATGTTAAATATAAATAACTATATTTAATATAAAGTCTTAGAAAAGGTTTAAGTAAAAACTCCTCCGTGCAGCGCACGGGATACACACTAGTAGTTATGTAGAATGAGTTAGATGACAATTTCCACCTGCAATCCCTTTAACAACGGTGTCGTTTTTGATTTATTTGCCCAGAATTTAATTTTATATATTTTATCAAACAAGATGACGTGGCAGAAAACGTCGTCGGTCCACAATCACTTACTTTCCCGAAACGGCGTCGTTGCATCTCCTCCTCTAAGTGATCGTCATCGTCCTCGTCGTCCCCCTTTTTTGGCCAATCTCTGTAAACCCCCAAATTCCAGCCAAAATTTTTCTCTCTCTCTTAGGGTTTTCCCATCTCTGCGTTTTTTCCCCCCAAAAAAACATGGATCAATCGTTCCTCCTGATGCTCTCCAACCTCCTCCACCTCCACAACTACCTCGACCCCACCACCTCTCCTCTCCTCTCCTCCACCGCTCTCCCTTCCTCCTCCGCCGCCGCCGAC